CTCAGTTGTTCTCCTGAGTGAAGTTTGGTCCGTTTACAGCATCCTGCCATGCAATTGCATTTGTCTCTAACCACCAGAAACCCTCACGTTAACTTTTATCGAGTGGAAAAAAGTTAGCGTTCGTCCTTTAGCTTCACTGTGCTAATGTTATGCTAACTTTTGCTAGCAATCACGTAGCACATCATTATATACCAGCTAGTCCGACTTCAGTAACCCTACAAAACGTCACTGCTGTTTAGTTTTCTGTCTTCATTTATGTTGGAAGTGATAGCAGAGCTGTACGTTTTAATTTTTTGAGAAGTCTCTCAGTCAGAACATGCTATATCAACACTGATCATTTTATTAAAGATAAAATAATTTAGACAGTTTTTAACGCTCAGTGATGCCGCAGTGTTTGTTTGACTTTGGGACCTGAAGAAGAGGGAGTTTTGGACCCAGATTACTCCGCAGGGCTCCTGACTATGGCAGCTGTAATGCTCCGGCAATCCATCAAGCAGTGCGCCTTCATAGTCTACCAAAGTCGTACTAAAACATTTTTGAACAGATTTCTGCGCGCCGTGTACCACATAAAATTGATTCGAGGTGAGTAAGCACAACCAGAATTCATACATAAGTAGGGATGGGTATCGTTTAGGTTTTATCCGATACCGGTGCCAAATCGGTACTTTTGAAACGGTGCCAGTGCTCAAACGGTGCTCAAACCGGTGCTTAAAGAATGGAGAACACAAACTTTGTCCAAAAACCTCTCATGTTCAGCTGTTTTTTTTTGTAAAAAGATAACAATGTTAGCCTTTTCTGCAGCTATGGGGCATATATGGTATCACTCATGGCTGGAAGCAGTGCTTAATCAATGGAAAAAACACAAACTTTGTCCAAAAACCTCTCATGTTTAACTGTTTTCCACTTCTTCTTTGGTCATTTTAGCTTTTTTGGCCAGGGTGAAGAGAGTATCTGCCATCAAACAAGAAGACAGCCGCATGTAGCTATGATGATGTTTGCTAGTTCACCTTACATGCATTAATGTAATAACGTGGTTAGCCTACTCAACATAAATTACACACGAACAACATTAAGCTACTCACGCAGAGAAGAACGGCTGCTGCTGCCATCAAATACGGCGCATTTCTCGGCTTTTAAAAAAACGCTATGCGTCACCAGGTGTTTCATGAGATTCGAGGTGTTACCTCCTTTGACAGTATCACAGTATCAGCTTAAAGCACTTGTTGCTGCTGAGTTTGCATATTTTGCTGTGAAGTACAGCCAGACTTTTAACCGCTTCGCCTTGGACATTTTTAATCTGTAGCTCTGCGCTAACAGAACGTACGTACCTGGCCCCACCTACTATCCTCGGAAACGTAAAACAATTGGCTAAAAGTGTATCACAGCTCAGGAAAAAAAAGCACCGAAATAAAGCACCGAAATGTGCGCTGCTTTTCAGTCTGGTTACTACCGTTTATGTCAGAACGACACCGGTACCCATCCCTATACATAAGGCACACTGTCGATTTTTGAGAAAATTAAAGGATTTTATGTGTGCCTTATAGTGTGTAAAATACATGATACAGAAGAAAAGAATTTATCGCGATATATATCGTTACTGCACATGCTTCAAATTATACCGTGATATGGATTTTAGGCCATATCGCCCAGCCCTACTATTGTGACCCCATTTGACAGCAGTCTGCAGTAAAGACTCTCACAATTACCTAAAATGAGACTTGTAAAAACAAATAAAGTGAATAACATAAATACAAGCTTGACACAGTGCAGTGGTTATGACCTTCACATTACAGCAAGAGGGCCCGAATCCGCCAGCCGGATGAGGCCTTTCTGTGTGAAGTTTTCATATTCGGGTACAGGACAGTGGTGATTAACGTGATGTGAATGATTATCAGTCTCCCTGTGATGGACTGGCCAAGCTGTACCCTGTCTTTTGCTCTCTCACAAATGGGATAACCTACATCCACTCCACGACAATGAATTGGAAAAGTAGTTAAGAAAATAGACAGATTGAATATAAATACATGTTTTCCATGTCATTTAAATTGGTCCTGTTGTTTCTTATTCATTTACTACCGTCTCCTTACGCATAAAAAAGGACTCCTAGTCTACTCTTTGCAGTGTGGAATACAGCTTATTAATTTAACACTGGTATCAGTACAAATCCTCTTTTCCAATGTATGGGAATAGTATTGGAACTAGAAAAACGTGGATCGGTGTGTACCTAATTAATGATAAATTTCTTGACATTGGATTCAAGGAGAAATTTAAATTCAAACATCATACAAGTAAGTTTGTAGATAAACTGCAACAAGGGGTTGGTTTAAAACAAACAAACAACAGTGGCATCAGCACCTCCTATAACATAAAAATAAATAATCACCGTTTTCATATTAACAAAATCCAAAACTGTAGGTATGTTATGTTATACTGAACTGTATTAGATGGCACAGTGATAATTAACAGAAATGCACTTGATGCAATTTTCTTGGCCAATACCAATTTTATTCTAAGCGTGGCCTGCCGAAAACGATTGTTGCTGATTTTGATTTTCTTTCTAAGAACTAAAAGTGGCAGCATATACGAGCAAAAATCAATTATTCTTCAGAAAAATGTTATTATCATAAAAGACATGATTAAACTTTACAATTTCCCCCAAACCAAGTTACAGGATCTTCTCTCAATGACACGAATGAAAGTTGCTCAGTTATTGTAAAGAGGCATAAATGATGAACTTAAACGAGCTGCTATACATCCACTTATACCTGGCAAGCTTGACCTACCCAAACAAAAGCAGCTGCAATAAATATATATAACAAATCTAATGCCATTTAGTTACATTGTTTTCTACTGTGCTTAGAAAATCACCAGGACCTTGAACCTTTTTACTCATCAGCATAGTTTCCCTCATAGCTCCTATGATCTTTTGCTCATACTGAGGCTGCTGCCTTGTGGCTGGCTGGCTCTGAGCTCTCGATGGCTTTAACTTTAGCCTCTTTGCCTTTGTTAGCTTCTTTAAAATGTTTAAGTACAGCTGGGCGAGGGTGTTTTAAGTGTCTAATAAGGTCTGTTGTTTATTTTAGCAAACTCTGCGTCTTCACTCACAGTAAATAAATTCTAGTTAAAGACATGTTAGCACAAGGCTGCAAGTGTGGGCATGACTACCTGCTCACGTTACCCATCTGTGTAACAGACCGGCTCATAATCAGACCCACATGAGACAGACTGGCTGATCTGGGATGAGCATGTCGGAAAACAGCAGATTCCAGTCCCTGGCTGGTCAGTTGGTCCATTTCTAGTAATTAAGTGTAAAATTGGCTTAAAGCCTAATTAAACAAGAACTGCCATGTAATTCCATGCAACTCTGCAATTCAGTTCCAGAGGTTAGGTTCAGGATAACATTTCAAAATATTTGTTGGGAAATAAAAAAGCCATGCAGATAATACTTGTCATCAAGCGGCCCTATATCCTCACAACAGATGATGAGCCTGGTGTCTACTCACCCTGAGGTGCTGGAAAGCATGGATACTATAAGGTAGTTCAAACACTTTTCCACAGTCTGGCTTCTCTAGATCTGGGGGTAGAGCAGACCTGGAATCAATGTAGTCTTCAGGGCTAGAAAGAAAAGAGGAGAAGAAAAGATGACAATTTCATCATAATCACACAGAGGCCGTGAAGTTATTTAGGAGCAGAAACCATAAATGCATATTTAAAAGCAAAATAATGGCACAGACCTGATGTCTTTGCTTTCCAATGAGACATAAGTGCCATCATACAGATCCAGGTCTCCCAGGGGTACCTTAGCCATTACACAGTCTGCATCCTCCTTGTAATGCCTCTGCTCCAAACCCGTATCTCGGTCCTCATTCTCCTCAATATGAATCTTCTGTGCCACTAGCTGCTTCTGCTCAACAATCAGAAAAGAAGGCAGCAGTGAGGCATGACAAACTGGAATTGGATCTTAAATTAAACGACTGAATTTAATTTAATAATGTAGTGACACAAACTACGGCGAATGAAAGAATAAATGGGTAAACCCACCTCCAGCTTCTTGAGGTAGTTAACGCGGGTTTCTTGCCTCATGAAGATTACAACATCGTGCGGGTGTTTCAGATTTAAAGGGGAGTCCACCTGAAAAGCAAACAGCGCGATCGTGACCGACGTGCTTAGCTTCGCTTACTTAGGCCGAAAAAGACTCGGGCAGTTGATTAATCTCTGATATGACAACATTCAGATAGTGTGGAGTCATTGATTTAACTAGTGCGCCCGATTGTTAATTTCACACACGCACACTCGTCTTGTCAGACGCTCCTAATACACATAAATACGTAATGTCCCTGTCTATAGTCGGCACCAAACACCACTGACGTTCTGGCATATCTGCAAGCGCCTTCCAATGGAGGCATACACACTGTCATAAAAATATAAGTGTTTATCTTGACCCGGTTAACCAAAAGATAAAGGAACTAGTCTGATAAAGCTAAACCACTTGGTCAAACAAGCGGGATTTTAATATCCACGGAACTTTCTTTCTAAATCCACAGTTGCTCAAGCTGACAAATGAGTCGCACCGAATTAAATTATTATAAGTACTACAGTTACGTTAGAGTCGGTGCTATGAAAAATAGTTAGCTTCATAAGCTAGCAGCCAAACGTAAGCGTTAGCAGGTCAATGAGCTGTCATACTTGCTGCTGAATTTTTCCGTCCTCTGTGACAACCCAGTGGGTCGTAGCCCCTCCGGAGTCCACTGCAAGTATACACAGGAGGATGAAAAGCTTTCCATGTAGCGACGTTTTCCGCGAATAGTTGACACGGCAGGGCAAAGACTCCGGGCAGATTTTCCTGAGGTCCGCCATTTTTCTATCTCCCTTTTTCTTTTTCTATTTTTTTCCTGCGGCAACAATAGACTCCCACCAGGAGATGGCGCTCGCGTCTGCAAAGCGCGAAAAAAAATGTAATGACGTTTGGAAAAAGAAAAAAACAGGAAATTCTGTAGATACCAAAAGTTCGAGACGTTTTCAAGGCAAAGGTGGGTGTGCTACGAGAATAAAAACCTGCGTTCACGGACACATTCGGAGCTTATAACGCTTTTGTCACCGATGTGAGGGACGTGATTTCGCTGCCCGTTGTTTTGGTCAGTGGTTTTCTTTTAATACTTTACTTTTGACTGCAACCAGATTCGCATTTGTAGTTCCGTATCCAGGGGCATGGCTGGTTCGTCAAGTGCCAACACTTCCAGTCGTTGTATGCAGACTGTTAGCTAGCTGTAACGTGTTTTATGTAAAAAAGATTTGATACCGAATGTTGGAGTTTAGGCAGAACCTTATCGACTGACTGATGCTGACTAATGAAAAGTAAAAGTTACGCCCCATGTAGAGGAATAGTAGATTCAAGGAGGAGGTTTACGACGCCCATAGCTTGTACATGACTCACTGTACAGGTTGACAGTCTGGTTGGCATGTTTTTATGTACAAAGCTGCATATAGTCAAGGATGATTAGCTTATTTGGTTTGTTAAGCTAGGTGGGATATAAGGAGTAACGATAAATGGTACTAATCTTACAATCTAAATTCAAGACTGAGTCTTTAAGATTAATTCCAGTTGTCACAAAATGTGTTGTTCAGTATTATAGTTTAATAACCAACCAAAGACTACACTGCATATTTCATTAGTTCATACTCGGGTTTGTGAAGATTTCTCTATTTATTTTGGTTTGTTGCAAGAATCCAAGAATCTTCTCTGAAGTGAATTCCCACGTGTGTGTGTGTGTGTGTGTGTTAACTCTTCTGGTATAGGATTTGCTTACAAACCCACAGATTAGATGTGGAAGAGTAAGGGAAGGCCAAATAATGAATTGGTAATGTGATTATGTGAAAAATAAATTGTCTGATTGCTCATTAAGGAAAAAGATCATTAGAAATAACCCTAAAACCTTCCCATAGGGATCCTGTTTTCATGATAAATGAGCTGATTTGCTTTAGGTTTTTTCTAAAAGAAGGGAGGAAGTTGATTGGAGGAAATTATAAAGATGGTTGTAGGAGGATATTTCTTGAACATCATATCATTGTGTAACTCTACAAAACCTTTTTAGCAGCTTCATACAAAAAGAAAATCTCTTTTGTGCGGCTGAAGTAAAAATATCCCCATTTTAAAAGCAGAAAAATGCACATGTCTATTTTAAAGTTAATAGAGTTAGAATTTATTTCATGCTTCCTTACCTCTTTCAGACTTTGCCACCTGCTACAAATGGCCTGCTGTGAAAGCAATAAGGGGGGTTTAGAGGAGGACAGCTATGATGGAGCTGTTGGTGGAGTGCTGTCTGACTGTGCTCTGGCTATGCTGGAAAAAGAACAGGAGTCCATTCTTAGCCCTTCAGAGAACCCTAGTGCCTTCATGAGCAGCAGCAGCTTTCAGGCTGCCCCCCTGCAGGGCTACGATGTGGAGTTTGATCCACCGCTGGAGAGTAAATACGAGTGCCCCATTTGTCTCATGGCTTTGAGGAACGCCATTCAAACACGCTGTGGTCACCGCTTCTGCAAGAGCTGCATTGAGAAATCCATCCGGTATGCTATTGTGCATCTTTTTAATCAGCAATGAGCACTTAGGTTTCTATTTCATTTATCATCACAAGTTTCACAGGCCAGTTTTGAATCCTTGTTAGTTCTTTATTAGCATCAGGGCAATCTGGCAAATTACGGAGTAATGATTTAGAAATGAAAGGCTTCCGAATGATCCAAAAATTCACTGGTACTTGTTTTAATAGTGAAGTAGACAAAAGGGACCAACGATTTCTGTTCTTCTTCTTGCAAATCAGTGATACGGGACAGAGGTGCCCAGTGGACAACGAAATGTTGTCAGAAGACCAACTGTTCCCTGATAACTTTGCCAAAAGGGAAATTCTGTCGCTAACTGTTCGCTGTCCAAACTTGGGCTGTGCCGACAAGATGGAGCTCCGGCATTTGGAGGTAAAAAAAACTGTGACAGACATGTTTGATCCAAACACAGAACACGAAGTCAGGGATGTTAACAGGCTGGTGTTTGAAGATGCAGTTGCTTTGCACGTGAACATTTCAAAGACATATTTATGATTGTGATCACTTTGTTTTGGGGTTTTTTTTTTTTTTTTAAAGCTTTTTGCTTGTCAGTGTGATTATAAACCTCTCACTACTGCTGACTGCCAACTTCATAAAATGGACAGGTGTCAGCGGCTTGTAGACATTTTTGAGATTGCTGTAGAACACGTTTGTCAACACAATAAAATGACTTCAGAGAACACCACCACAACTACACTTTTTTTTTTTCTTGGCACATAAATAACAGTTCATCCCCCAGTTTGTGTCTTTCTCTGGTGTGGACAGAGGACTTGTTACAGCTTTCCTGACACCACTTTTATTCTGTTTTAGCTATTCTGGTCTTTTATCTCATTGGATGATGTTTGCATGTGTATACGTATACATGTATTTTATGTTCATGTATGTGTGCTGAATGTACATTTTTGTATATGTATGTGCATATTTGCATGTACACATATCTTTACAAACATATGGATGTCTCACAATGTTTTCTGTTTTCATCTTATCTATTTTAATTCTTTTTATTTGATTATATTATCCCTTTGTTCAGCACTTTGGCCGACACTTGATGTCTTTTAAATGTGCTATATGATTAAAGATGAAGACTTTCCTGCTACAGAAGCAAATTAAATGTTTTTTGTATTTATTTTTTCATTTTATTGTTTTAACTTCCAGGATCATTTGGTGCATTGTGAGTTTGCCACTGTGCCTTGTCCACAGTGCCAGCAGTCTGTGAAAAAGAGCCACCTAGAAGAGCACATAACTGTTCAGTGCCAAAAAAGACCCATGTCATGTCCAGACTGTGTGGCATGCTTTCTTTATGAGGAGAGAGAGGTACCATTGAATCACTTTTCAAGAACAGATCTCATGGCAGAGTTACAGTGATGTTTTGTGTGTCTGTGAGGAAATTTTCCTAATAGTCTCCTTTCATTTGCTCCTTCAGCTTCATCAGCAACAGTGTCCCTTTGCCAGTGTGAAGTGTCAGTACTGTGAGCTGGAGCTCGTCAGAGACCAGGTGAGTCTCTTAAGAGTCTGCCATGAAGAAGAGGCTTCAGGTGAATGAAGGGTTAGGAAGTGGTGATCAAAACAGGAACTACTCTCTTGTTTAAGCAATGGGGAACCATTCCAAACTCGGTCACATCACATGTTACAGTGCAGAAGGACAGTCACCATTTCAGCAGTAGAAAGTGGAACCACTTCTGTTTTAATTGTTGTCTGTTATTCCTGTTCCCTTGTTCCCTTTGTCTGTCATTTTCAGCAATAAGCAATCTCTTTGAAATGCTTAAAAAAACCCAATCTGAATATGACTGAAGCTAATTTACTAATGAATTTTTTTTTCTTTTTCTTTTTTCCCCCCCAGATGGAGTCTCACTGTGACACAGATTGCCCAAAAGCACCTATTGCCTGTAACTTTAGCATCTTTGGATGTAAAGAAAGGGTAGGTGATCAATTTCTAGATTTCCATTCTTTCAGCTCTCATACAGCACATTCTTAATAGGTTAATACAGTGGTTCCCAAACTTTTTTTGCTGGCCCCCCCTTTGTTTTACAAGAAAAATGCCCCCCGCACGCGCGCACAGGGAGGCATAAACACATCCTCCAACCACACACACCCATATTTTGCTCCGTTGCGGTTTATTTCACACCTCAAACATTTAGTAAACAATTAAGCAAATACAAGTAATCTGCAATAAATTACAGGTAGTAAGGAAATAAACTACTAACTCTTTTACGCTATGCCGCACCTACACCGGTATTTTTTTAAAAAACGCAGCTGTTTGGTCCACACGTAAACGGCGTTTCGAATCACCGAAAACTGAGATTTTTAAAACTCCTTTTTTGCGTTTACGTGTGGACAAGGAATACAGAGTTCATCACGTCAAAGGTATGTGCCTTTTTTCACGTCAGCTGTGCGCCACGTTATTGTTTACATGTGATGAATTGCAGAATGGCAGATAAACAGTATTTTGTCTCTATCTTCAGGTTTTACACGCTTACATATAAACACACAGTTACTGTCCCTCTATTTAGAAAGGCAGAGGCGTCACAGTGTACAGGGAGTGCAGAATTATTAGGCAAGTTGTATTTTTGAGGAATAATTTTATTATTGAACAACAACCATGTTCTCAATGAACCCAAAAAACTCATTAATATCAAAGCTGAATGTTTTTGGAAGTAGTTTTTAGTTTGTTTTTAGTTTTAGCTATTTTAGGGGGATATCTGTGTGTGCAGGTGACTATTACTGTGCATAATTATTAGGCAACTTAACAAAAAACAAATATATACCCATTTCAATTATTTATTTTTACCAGTGAAACCAATATAACATCTCCACATTCACAAATATACATTTCTGACGTTCAAAAACAAAACAAAAACAAATCGGCGACCAATATAGCCACCTTTCTTTGCAAGGACACTCAAAAGCCTGCCATCCATGGATTCTGTCAGTGTTTTGATCTGTTCACCATCAACATTGCGTGCAGCAGCAACCACAGCCTCCCAGACACTGTTCAGAGAGGTGTACTGTTTTCCCTCCTTGTAAATCTCACATTTGATGATGGAAACTGTGGCAGGATCAGCCTGATATTATTTGTATCCCACTGTAACTTTACTGTATAAAGAGCTAACATCTCCAAAATGTCAGGAGTAGTTAGTCATTACAAGAAGTGTTTGTGAACTAAAAATCAAAAATGTGGGATACTGTTTGTCCGTGATTTAAACAGCCCAGCGCTGCTCCCAACAAGGGAAAACCAATTCTGCAGGGGAGACCTACCTTGGCACTTGTGCAGGTGAAGCCAAAGGGATATTTTCTAGTCTCTGGCTTAGAATGAAGTTGGTTTGGAAACATATTCAGCGATGCTTCATCTCCTGCTTTGCGTTTGTGTGGGTGCCCCGTGCTAGCAGTGTACAAGCGTTTTGTTTTTTTTCCCCCTTTTCATACCGCGCCCCCCCTGCAATGGCACACTTTGGGAAGGTCTGGGTTAATAGGTTTTGTAGTTTGCGACACAAGTTTTAAAGCTGGTTTGACTCTGCAGATGCAGCGCCACAACCTGGCTCAGCACATGCAGGAGTTCACACAGATGCATATGCGCTACATGGCTGAATTTCTGCGTGGCCTTAGCCTCAATGGTACTACACCCAAACCCCTGAGGACTTTAGGACCTTCACTTTCCTCTGAGGATCAAGGAGCTGCACCATCAGTACCGGCCTGTAGTGGGCCCAGAGGGGCTGCAGCTCTGAGCTGCAGTAGCAGTTGTGCTCCAGGTCCGTCTAGTGAAGAGATGCAGCAGAGGCTCCGTGAGATGGATGGACGATTGGTGAAGCAGGATCACCAGCTCCGTGAACTCATCATCTTAAAAGACACCCAAGTAAGTGATATCCAAGTGTATTTTGACCTTTTGGGGTTTTGGTTTGTTTTTGTTCTTTTAGATTAGTTTCTTTTAGATTAGTCTCAAAGCCTCTATTCTTTCATTTTCTCTCAAATATTTTCCCATTTCATTTTCACAGGCAGGCCAGCTAGCAGAGCTCAGGCGTAGAGTGTCCATGCTGGAGGATACAGTAAAAGAGCTGGAGGCCCAACATTGCAATGGTATCTTCATCTGGCGCCTCAAAGGTTTTTCAGTCCACCTGCGGAACCAAGAAGCGGGCCAGCCAGTGGTTGAGCACAGCCCCGGCTTTTACACAGGCCGCCCAGGCTACAAGCTGTGCCTGCGCTTACACCTGCAGACCCCCAATGCCCCTCGCTGCTCCAACTACATCTCCCTATTTGTGCACACCATGCAAGGAGCTTTTGATGGGCAGCTTACCTGGCCATTTCAAGGAACCATCCGGCTCGCCATCCTAGACCAGGGCCCTGAGGGTCAGCATCACATGGAGGCAATGGAGACTAAACCAGATCTACAGGCCTTCCAGAAGCCGACAATTCAGCGCAATCCCAAAGGATTTGGCTATGTCACCTTCATGCACCTGTCTCAGCTGAGTCAGAGAGCTTATGTTAAAGACGACACTCTGCTCATCCGCTGCGAGGTGACGCCGCGTTTTGACAATATCCTTCACCGTGAGGGACCAGCTGTACAGCCAAGAGGACCTGAGGCATTTGCTTCAAGAGACTAAAGTCGCACTCCTTCGTGTGGGATCTTCCACAAGCTGACATTTATGGTACCTCTACCAGTGTTTTAGTAATTCAGTAAAGTTCATTTTTAATTGATGGTGATCAAGTGGAAGAAAAATTGACATTAACAACCTTTTAAAATAGCTAGTATTTATTTTTTTTCAAGATCTCAATGTTTGTTGTAATACATGTACAGCAGAATTCATTTAGATCATTATGAGAGATATGTACTTTAAATCTACGCTGTTAAGACCATGTGAACTGTATCTAATCAGCTCAGCACCACAGGCTCTCTTGCTATTGTTGTAGAACACAGCATGAGGACTTTTTGGTTTTGGGTTTTTATTTTTTACCTCTAGTGTCATTTTTCAATCATTGTTTAAAGAGCAGATGCCTTTTTTGGGGTTTTTTTCCCTTGTCATCTGCAAGTGTATAGGATATGTGGATAATGTATTACATATTCTTAACAGCAGAGGATGAAAATGACAGGTTTTTATAAAATGCTCAATTAAGTGAACAGGCTTAAATCCCTAGAATCAGTTGTGGGAATTTGTTGTAACCACAGTCGATCATATGTTATCTAATATTGAATCATGAACCAAAAAAAAGGGTCACTAGGTAACAATGGAAAGTTAAACGCTTATAATTATTAGCATAGACACAATCTTATTTTCATTCCCCTTATGTGTGCTTAGTCTACTGACTCACCTTGGCAAGCCAAACCAATGGAAGCCTAGAGGCCCCCCCCCCCCCCCCCCCCCCTCCCCCTCCCTCTCCTCCTCCATCCTTGTATATTCTGGGTAAACAGCATATATTGGAAACACTGGAGGTGCTATTTATCTTAGAATAGATGCAAATGAACCTGAACAGGTGAAACTGAATTCCAAGCAGTGAACTAACCCTGGCCATTTTTCCTTTTAATCAGGAACAATCTCTCTGTTCCACTGTAGGACAAAGGGCATTTGGGGGTGGTAACGTTCAAAATTCCCTTTCAGATGTTTTACAAAGAAAGTGATGCATTTGCCACATTTGGGCACGCCAGGATCTCTCACAGAGAATTTTGATGAGAAACACAGCAGTAACACAAAAGCTCCACGGGGGTATCTTGTGAGAAAGGTCATTGTGTGGAACAGAATCAGCAAAAACTTATTGTCCATTCCAAATGCCGCATTTCAAGCGTCACTGCTTCTGCCCATCCTGATTTTTGAGGCATCACTGTGGCACAAACAGCAGAAATGATGGACGGATTACTCAAAGTGCCTTTTACTCAAGCTCCTAACTAATGTAACCTTAAATAATTGAAGTGTAAATGTGAATGCAACTTTGTCACGCTCCATGAAATGCTAATAATTGATTGGATTAATGTTTTAGCTAATGAAAGCTGTCCTCCTAAACACAGTTACCACAGTGGAACATTTAATGTTTTCCTCTAAAGGACCCAATATTTTTATAAATAAAACACCATTTCACTCATTTAAAGTCCATTTTCCCCTTATTGGATTTAAAAAAATATTTTTCATCTCTCTCAATATTCTTCAGCTGTCTGTATGCAGCCATTATCACTTTTATTCATCAATGTAAGGAAATTTTTTGTTGGCCCCATATCCTGGATGTCCCGGTTTTGTTTTTTCTTCTTGCTTCGCTTCATTCGCTGTTTGACTTTGAGATGCATCTGCAGCGGCGCCATCTGTCTTGTCGCCTGCAAGAGACGCTAGAGAATGACATATTATTGCTTGGACTACATCGAAAAGGCACAAAGCACTGTGTTTGAATCTTTTTGCATAATTACTGTCATTCTTCTCGCTGATTTTTGACTCACTCGGAACTCTCGGCGCGTCCTTCCCACATTTGAGTGTGCTCTGAGCAAAGCACTCAGCCATCCAGGACAGCACCTCTCCGCAATATCTGACCTGGAGAAAAAAAAGGTCAGAGGTCACTATTTTTAACTTATAAACTACTTCTGCACTAGACTTTAAACTTGAAATAGATTTGGGAAAATGCATCCCTGGATGGTGCTATTGAGCTCAGTATACCGTTTACCTGACTTTCCATGGATGCCAGTCGTCTCTCTTGGTCCTTAAATCCACCGACAGTCTTCAGCAAGCTTTGAACCCTTGATCCCAAACAAAGTCATTTAGAACATTTTAACCTTAAGAGACACAGATTGGTGCTGTGCAGGTACTACAAGAGTTTCTAACTTAATTGCTTTGAGAATAGCATGCAAACTTTTGCAAAAGAATTATGAAGTGACCGTTACTTTGAGGAGGTGCTCTTGAGTCTCTCCTCGCTGCTTTCCCAGTGCTGACGCTCTACTTTGGCCAGGTAATTCTCTTTCTGCACAGTCTCCCATGTTATCAGCCTCTGGTCCAGCCCCGCCGGCAACTCCCTCTCTGGCAACACACAAAAGCAAGGAAGTGAGTAACCAATTAACCTAAAAAAGTTCCACTTGGTGGGTGAGAGACAAAGATAAGCCCGCCATGTGTTTGCCTGTGTTTGATTTGGTTTTTGTTTAGCCACCTAAGCCGCAGAGGACTCTTTCAATGTCTGTTTCAAATAACGGCTTAATAGCCCCTAATGGAAAAGTGTATATAGAGCCTTCATACCAAGACGTTCCTGCTTGGACTCAGGCTGCTTAATTAGGCTGAGGAAGAGCTGAGAGAGGTGGCTGATGATGATGAAGGGTGGGGCCAGTGCTGGACGGCTGTGGTATTCCACGATCAGGTTATATCTTTGGAACTTCCAGAAGATATCTGTGTTGCCTTGCACTACCTGGAATGTGTAGCTGCAAATGGGGGAAGAAGCAAGTAAACCAGTTTGTGTATGTGTGTTTTTCTTTTTAATTTTATAATTTCAATAAGCCACTGGCTCATCTCATGTGATCAGACGGGCAAATGTATGCACGTTTTCCTGGATTCTCATCCCCTGACCTGAACATGGCAATGAGGAGGTTCATCAGCAGGACATTGGTGACGAGGAGGTAGATAACCAGCAGCAGGATGACCAGCCAGTTGGCATAGACGTTGGGACATGGTGGCCGCAGGCCCTCGATAATCTCGTCTGAGTCATCGGTGCAGTTCATTTCAGGCATGCGAGCAGCTGCGCTCCATTAGATGTAAGGACAAGATACGATAAGATTAGAAGGGGGGGAACAAAAAAATCTAGGGCAAACAGATTACAACCCCAATGGCAAGCATAAGCAAAACATTAATTACACATCTTGGCAAAGTATTTTGCATTTTTTCACAAACAGATAAACAGTTAAAGGATGTATCGTACTGTCTATCTCCTCCAAAGGGATCTGGCCAAAAATGTGCAGGTAGGGACGATACAGCGCTCTGCGAAACACCCAGTCAATCCTTTGGTCATTGGGGTGGAGGAGAGCCTGGGTGGCAACTCCGTATGCAATGAGCCAGACACACAAGAAAAACAGGAAGAAGAAGACATCCTTCATCTGTTTAAAAAAAAAAAAGAGAGAGAGAGAGCAAAAGATCTCCGTCTTAATCTTCTTTTTAGGCGTCTTCTTCTATTAGCAAGAGCACAACTTAAAGTCATGATTTTGTTTTGGTCACCATTCTTTCCACAATGATGATCTTGGGTCCCAGCTGCTTGTGAATGGCAAAGATATGGATGAGACGCAGAGTAAACACCATGAAATCAATGGCCAGAACTGTCCTTCCCGCCTCGTAGGTGTCATTCACCATCCTGAGAGAAAAAAAATAAATCACACCCTGTAGCAACACTTTTCTTTTTTTGCATTCAGCCATTCATTCATTTAACCACTTGCTTACTTATTTTGATGCTTTAGCCACAATCATCACCACGACACATACTAAAGCCTAAGTGCTCACATTAGATTTAGATTTACCTGCAGGAGACCCCAACAACAAAGAGTGAGATGGCAACCATGTCACACTTGTTCCAGTTGTCCTCCACGTAGAGTTTAAACTTCTTTAAGATGCTCATCTCTTCATCAGTGAAGAAGCTCTGTTGTCATAAAGATTAATAAAGAGATATATCTTTTTTTTTTACATGTGAATATTTTTGTAAAACTGTTCATCAGAAAATCTGAGCCTGTCTTGACTTCTTTCAGATCAAATACTAGAACGACATTCAAACACACCTCCAGGGCCCACAGCTAAAGGTCGATCCCAAAATCAATAGCACTGATACCAACGCTGGTATTGGTATCAGATCGATATTTCACTCTGAAAAGCTGAAAGGTGTGTTTTGTTGTGTTAGCTAATTATTGTGGAAAATACTAATCACAGTGATTTAGTGCTCATTAAAATGTGTTCAGAATTTTCAAATTGATGATGATTCATGTCATAAATCATGATAGACTGCTTTCCCCTACACAGGCTGCCTTTGTAGTTTAAAAGCATTGGTATTTGTATCATTAATAGTGGTCTTTTACCTGGCATCAGCTTGATGCCTAAATGTGTGGCATTGCACAGCAGTCCCCACAGCTCTGCTGCTTTAGAGGGGACCTTCAGTGCAACCAAATGGTGAGTCCTGTCAAATGTCTTTTATACTTAGAGTGTGAGGTTGACTTTTCTCCTGTGACTTGAACAGGTTACCTGAACGTGCCTTAAGAACCACTGCTTGGTCCCTTGATGGCGCAGTTGGTTTGTCAATAAGCTGAGGGCAGCATGTGTGCTTTCACAAAGTCACAGTCTGCTGTGCGAAAGCTTTGAGTGCCATTCGACAGATGTCTACATGACATCCAAATACTTTCAACTGTCCCCAGGTACAAGCTGTAGATTTAAACACTTAAGGTAAACCTAGCTTACACTCAGCAATTAATTATTTTAATAAATCTGCAGTAAAAGATGGTAAAATGAGCAAAATGCACTACTGGCATAACTCTATGAGAGGGAGCAGACTGGGACTACTCGTTTATTAAAAAGCTGGTAGAACTAGGCTGTTGAAGTTTTTTTTTTTTTTGTAAAAAAGTATGATAACAAGGCCCCTGTGGCGTTATCTTCATTTAGGAAAAGGCATGCACCTTAGAGCCATCCTTTTGAATGCACAGGGGCCCTGCTGGGCATGGTAGCATGCCAGAGTTGCCTGCAGCAGTGTGGTTCTTATTTTGGAAATCTCTACCATAATTCTGTCTGAATTACACATTGAAAAATAGAGTGGTGAAGGACTTTGTCATCTGGGCATTTTTGTGCCCAAGGGAAGAGAGCTCAGTGGGATCGGTGCAATAAGGGATCATGCTTGTCTGACCTGGCTCACTAAAGAGGCGAAAGGCTTAAAACCCCTGAGACAATGAGCTCACTGTAGCGATTCACATCACCTCCTACTCAGATGTGTCAGAGCCTAACACGTCTAATAGAAATGCCACTGCTTCGAAAAAGGTGTCACGCTGCCTAGAGAGAAAGATGCTGATTCTTGGCATCATATAGGTGCCAGCATGATTAGATGATCACCTGTCGAAGTTCCTCCAGCACCATTGTGAAGACCCAGAAGTAGAGCATTATCTCTGGCGCTCCAGGGCCAAGAGGCGGCGGCGGGCGGAAGTCTAGCAGCAGCACGTAAGTGAAGAGGCAGAGGAAAGCAAAATACATGATGACATTGCCGAGGAACACCGTTACAGGAGCGCTCCAAAAGCGACGCCAGCGACGCAGTAAGAAACGCCACCAAACAGAGGCGCAGCTCTGATCTGCTTGACCTCCAGGTGAAGAGTCCCTGGAAAAAAAAGACACCACATTAATATGTAAAGACAAATCTATATCTAACTATAGATATAATCATGTAA